TTTTGGTGGTGCTATATGATTTACGTACCATGGTACCAAGAGATTAAATCAGGGTAGATAATTCTTATTTTCTAGAACCTTTCTGGTGTAAGAAATACATGTTGTATCTCTATTATTGTCTGCATTTGCTCAGTCACCCTGTCTATTCCAAGATTATAGCTAGGAATTCACAGTTCTTAATTTCTAAATTTTAAGAGAGAGTGCCAGAGTTTGTTGTCATCTGTTCTGTTCTACTCTCTAGTTGTGATCTGATCTTTCATTTCCTGTATATTCTCTTAATTTTAACATTACAAGCACTTTCTATGAGGGAACTTGCCCGCTAAGCTCCCATGCTGTTTCTTTATTGACAAGCCCCTGGTATAGGCTAGCCACCAGAGGAGAGGATTAAGGAGCTAGTGTAGTCCTGAGGGTTTAACCTTAGAGTTAGAAAATGAAGCATAAGGAAATCCTTTTCATTAACTGTTGAAAATTAGAAATTATGCAGAAAGAGACATCTTTAGTGGTATTATGACTGTCTAGTAGACTGGTGAGATGAGCCAACATGTAAAGAATTGGAAAGGAAAAGATGATTCTCAATTAAAATACCATTAATAGCTTGTGAAAATAAAAGTAGGAAAATATAATTGCTTGTGTCCTGCCAAATATTTTTTACCATACAGATTTTAGTTATAGAATATTAAGTAGCCCAATTATTATTTTGTATAGAAATCTCTTAGATAACTAGAATTTTAAATACCAACATTTTTAACTTTTTTTTACATTTAAAGGTTGATTGTATATCCTCCACCACCTACCAAGGGAGGATTAGGAGTAACTAATGAAGATTTGGAGTGTTTAGAAGAAGGAGAGTTTCTTAATGATGTAATCATTGATTTTTACCTCAAGTAAGTACGATGATAAATGGTCTTCTCATTTGTTTTATAGATTTTACTGAGGAACTTAACACAAATGTATTTATCTTTGAGTTATTTCAACTCTAATTAAAAATAATGTGCCTAGATTACAGATCTGGAAAATTTTGCCTGTCAAGGGTTTTCTAGAATTGACTAAGTCAGTTTTATTGTTTTATTTCTCATACATACTATTCTTAAGGAGAGGTATGGCTTTTTTGTTGTTTTATTTTTTGTTGGTTGGTCTTTAATTTATATTAAGTCATTAAATATGAAATGTCTAATTTTGAGTCAGAAGTTTAGTTTGTTACATCTCAAACAAGAAGCAGTACAGTTAATCAAAGTATCATAGTTTTATCATCTTAGTGGTAGTTTGTGTATGGTTGTAGTGAAGAAGTCTGTAGAATGAGTGGCAATGAAATCACAAAAGGTATTTTTCACAGCTTGTTGAGAATTGAATATTTTTCTTTATAAGAAGTGGTCCAAAGCCTGGTAGAAGTAGTAATCAGTTGGTGCAAGGTGTGGTGAATACGATGGATGGCAGAGAGTTTCGAAGTCCATCTTCTGCAGTTTGAGCTGTGTTGTTTGTGCAATAGTGTTGTCTTGGGAAAGGATTGGTCTGTTTCTGTTGACCAGTCTCAGCTGCTTAATCACAACATTCCTCATCACGTTAATCACAGCATTCCTCATCATGTCGTCTATTTGCCGTAATTGATTGACCTGGCTCCATGAAGGTGTAGTGGATACCAGTGCTGGACCACCAAACAGATATCATTAGCATTTTTTGATGAATATTTAGTTTTGGACTGTGTTTTGCTGCTTCATCTTTATCCAATCATTGTGCTGAACAGTTGTGATTGTCAAAAAGAATCCATTTTTTCTTCACATGTAACAAATACAATGTAGAAATGATTCAATTTTATGTTATGACAGCAAAGAAAGGCAGGCTTTGAGACTATTTCTTTTTTGATGCTTGTTTAATTCATTTGAAACCCACTTATCCAGTTTCTTTACCATGCTAATTTGTTTCAAATGGTCCAATATTGTGGGAAGAATAATATCAAGTCTTGCTGCTAATTCACACGTAGGTTGAGATATAAATTCACTTCTACTACAGCTTTTGGCTCATGATTACCCACCTTGGTCTTAGGTCACCCACGTGACTCATTTTCAAGATAAAAATCATCAGAATGGAACTTCTCAAACCATCCTGTGCGTTCATTAGCCATATTCTCTCCATTTGTTGATACTTCCAGCTGTTTGCACTACATTTGTTCCACAATGGAGCTTATATTTGAAAATAACACAAATTGGGCAGTGCCTGTGGCTCAGTCAGTAGGGCACTGGCCCCATATACCGAGGGTGGCGGGTTCAAACCCAGCCCTGGCCAAACTGCAACAAAAAAATAGCCGAGCGTTGTGGTGGGCACCTGTAGTCCCAGCTACTTGGGAGACTGAGGCAAGAGAATTGCCTAAGCTTAGGAGTTGAAGGTTGCTGTGAACTGTGATGCCACAGACTCTACTGAGGGTGATAAAGTAAGACTCTGTCTCTACAAAAAAAAAAAAAGAACACAAATTTTTGACTTATTCATGGTTTTACAAAAATTGTTCTAAAAAAATTGAAAGATAATCATAAGCCAAAATATGTGTTGGAGAGAATATGAGGATATACCTTCACAATAATATAAAAAATAAGTGTCAAAGTGAAATGTCAGAGATGTCAACTGTCAAACTTAGTACTTAAGGAAATCGGACATGTCTTAATAACCTAATACTTCTTTACTATGTTATTATACAGATCACTTTGCATAATTATAATTACAGATCACTTGGGGATCCAAATAGAAGCAGCTCTATGCAGTTGTCTGTTCTGTCGTGCAGTTTTTGGCCAGGGCTGGGTTTGAACTCACCACCTCCAGCTGTCTGTTCTGTCTTTAAGCACCATGAGAGTTAATAGTCATTTAAAAAAACTCTATCACTATTCTGTTAAAATTTTTTTTTCAGCTTTTCCCAAAGATGAAGGAATAGATATGGAAGCCTTAAAAAGTTTTATGCCAAGGAAATTTGTTTCTGGCTTTTATTTTGTACTGTATCCTAAAACCTAAATTTCTGATACTTGATTGAAATATTTTCAAATTACTTCCCAGATCCCTCTCAAACCAAACTATCATCTAACTGAAGTTCTACTGCTTTACTGATAATACTATCTTTAGGGTTTCAGAGTCACAGTTTTACACATTTATATAGAGAGATATTAGGTATTTAATATTTAGAAATTTAATTTTGACCTTTAAAAAATATCTTCCATGTTTCTGACTTTTTGAATCTATGGAACACAGTTATAATAACTGTCTTACTTTCCTTTTCTGCTTATCTAACATGTCAGTCTGGGTTG